GGAGGAGAAGGAGGAGGAGGAGGATGATGAGGAAGAGGAGAAGGAAGAAGAGGAGGAGGAAGAGCAGCAGGAGGTGGAGGATGATGTGGAGGAGGAGGAGGATGAGGAGAAGGAGGAGGACGAGGAGGAGGAGTCTTGGGACCGATTTTGCCACACATGGTGGTCATCCTAACCTCCTCTTCAGCGTCATCCTCCTGCCCCCCCTGTCCCTCCTATTGGTTGTCGTCCTGCAAGATCGTGGCGCGTGTGCCAGAGGTATATATCGAAGACGCCTACGGCGAATCACCGCCGCCCCCTGCCTTTTTGGAAGCGCCTATGTGGCCGAACGTTGAGGTCAGATCTGCCAAGCTATTGGACCATGCGTTCCCCGAATCGGTTTGGAAAGCCTTCGGGGAACACGTGGGCATCTTGAAGGTCATCTTGGCCGTCTGGAGGCCATTTTGACCCTTTCGGGCCTTCTTGGAGGACGTCTTGGAGGGCTCTTGGACCGTCTTGGAGGCCATCTTGAGCGTCTTGGAGACCCCTTGGGCCGTCTTGGGGGCCTGTTGGGGCCGTGTCTTGGGCCTCTTGGGCGATCTTGGGGGGCACTTGGGCCGTCTCGGGCCGTCGGAAGGCAGAAAAACATCATATGCCACAATCCTTCAAACACCCATGGGAAATCAATGATTTTGGCCTTTTCGGGCCTTCCTGGAGGCCCTCTTGGAGGCCTCTTGGGCCGTCTAGGGCCATCTTAGGGTCATGTTCGGCCGTCTTGGTGGGCTCCTGGTCCGTCTGACGCCGTCGGAAGCCGTTTGGGGTGCCTCTATGGGCAGACTTGGGGCCCTCTTGGAATGCTCTAGGGCCGTCTTGAAGGTCATCTTGGGCGTCTTAAAGGCCTCTTGTGCCGTCTTGGGGGCCTCTTGGGGCCGTCTTGGGGCCCTCTTGGGCCGTTATGGGGCCATCTTGGAGGCCTCTTGGGCGATCTTTCGGCGATCTTTGGGGGCTCTTGGGCCGTCTCGGGCCGTCGGAAGGCCGAAAAGAAGGAAATGTCAAAATCCGTCAACAACCTTAGGAACATCAAAGTTTTTGGCCTCTTCTGGCCTTGCTGGAGGCCCTCTTGGGGGCCTCTTGGGCCGTCTTGGGCCAGCGTCGAGCCAACTTCGGCCATCTTGGTGGGTTCCGGGCACGTCTGTCGCCGTCGGGAGCCGTCTTGGGGGCCTTTCTGGGCCGACTGGGGGCCCTTTTGGGGCGCTTCGGGGCCGTCTTGGAGGCCATCTTGGGCGTCTTGGAGGCCACCTTGGGCGTGTTGGAGGCCTCTTGGGCCGTCTCGGGGCCCTCTTGGGGCCGTCTTGGAGGCCAGTTGGGCCGTCATGGGGCCCTCTTGGGGGCCTCTTTCGGCGATCTTTGGGGCCTCTTGGGCCGTCTTGAGCCGTCGGAATGCCGAGAAGAAGCACATTCCAAAATCCTTCAAAAACCTAAGGAAAATTAATGATTTTGGCCTCTTCGGGCCCTCCTGGAGGACCTCTTGGAGGCCTCTTGGGCCGTCTTGGAGGCCTCTTGGGCCGTCTTGGGCCGTCTTGGACTCTCTTTGGGGCCGTCTTGGAGGCCGTCTTGGACCATCTCGGGCGGACTTGGAGGCCATCTTGGGCCATCTTCGCGATTTTTTGAGGATGTCCCGAGCGAAACGGCCGTTTTGGGCATTGACTGATGCAGTTTCCGGGTGGCCGGCGGGACGTGCCGGAGCCCCAGGGGGAGTTCTTTTGGAAAAAGAACCAAAACCAAAAGCCATATCGTTCGGCACGCCAGGCACCCCTGCGATGAATCGACAGGGGGCGGCGGATCTAGTGGCCTTCGGGCCATCCCGCCACCGTGCCTTGGTTGTCGGCCTGAGATCCTTGGTGCCTGTATTGTGGACTGGAAGGTACATGCCTCAAGTGGTGCTTGAGGCTTCTTTTGAGCTTCTTGGGGGCCTCTTGAGGCCTCTGGGGGGCCTTTTAGGAGCCTCTTGGGGGGCCTCTTGGGGGCCTCTTGGGGCCTCTTGGGCGCCTCCTGGGGCGGACTTGGTGGACTCTTGGACCGTCTTCAACGCCGTGAAGGCCCCAAAGTCTTATATGATAGAAATGTACGGTTTCCCATGGGTATTGGACGATAGTGGCCTTTTGGGCCCCCTTGGGAATGCTCTTGATAGCCCCGTCAGTGCCGAGTGCTACATCTATGTGCATGTGCATGTATGTATGTATGTCTGTATGTATGTATGTATGTATGTATGTATGTATGCATGTATGCATGTATGCATGTATGCATGTATGTATGTATTTATGTATGTATGTATGTCTGTATGTGTGTATGTGTGTGTATGTATGTATGTATGCATGTATGCATGTATGCATGTATGCATGTATGCATGCATGCATGTATGAATGTATGCATGTATGCATGTATGCATGTATACATGTATGCATGTTTGCATGTATGCATGTATGCATGTATGCATGTATGCATGTATGCATGTATGCATGTATGCATGTATGCATGTATGCATGTATGTATGTATGTATGTATGTATGTATGTATGTATGTATGCATGTATGCATGCATGTATGTATGTATGTATGTATGTATGTATGTATGTATGTTTGTCGGAGGTGAGGGGGTGAGATCGAAATGGAACGGAGAGCCCCCCTACCGGGAAATCGATTTCGGTTTCGTGTTCGTGCGTGCCGTGCGGGCGAGGCGAAGCTGCGTGGGCGGGCGAGAGAAAGTCTCCTGTGGCTGAGGCGCGGCCGGACCAAATGTCTCCCTTCCGGGCGGCCGGTGGCCCGCGGTGTCCCGCCGGTGTCCCGCTGGTGTCCCGTGTGGCTGAGGCGCGGCGGACCAAATGACTCCCTTCGGGCGCCGGCCGGTGTGTCCCCGGGGCGGTGTCCCGCGGGTGTGTCCCCGGTGTCCCGCGGTTGTCCGCGGTGTCCCGCGACGGATGATGATGATGATGATGATGATGATGATGATGATGATGATGATGATGATGATGATGATGATGATGATGATGATGATGATGATGATGGATGATGATGAGATGATGATTGATGATGGTGATGATGATTGATGATTGATGATGATGATGATGATGATGATGATGATGATGATGATGATGATGATGATGATGATGATGATGATGATTCCGATGATGTTGGTGATGATGATGTTGATGGAAATGGTGTCCCGGCGATAATGATGTTGATGATGATGATGTTGATGATGATTATGGTGTCCCGATGATGATGCTGATGATGATGATGGTGTGATGATGATGGTGATGCTGATGGTGTCCCGATGATGATAATAATGATAATGACGATGTTGATGATGATGTTGCTCATGATGATGATGGTGCCCCAATGATGATGATGTTGTTGATGATGATGATGTCGATGATGATGATGATGATGCGATGGTCATGATGATGCTGGTGTCCCAAGGATGATGACGATGTTGATGATAATGTTGATGATGAGAACGATGGTGATCATGATGGTGTCCCGATTATGATGATGATTATGATGATGCTGCTGATGATGATGACGATGACTGTGTCCCGATGATGATGATGATGCTGATGATGAGATGATGATGGTGGTGATGATGATGTTGTCCCGATCCTGATGCTGACGTTGATGATGATGTTTACGATGATGATGGTGATGATGATGATGCTGCTGATGATGATGATGATGATGACGGTGCCCTCATGATGATGACGATGTTGGTGATGATGTTGATGTTGATGATGATGGTGATGATGATGATGATGATGATGATGATGATGATGATGATGATAATGATGATAATGATGATGGCGTTGATTGTGAGAGCGATTGTGATATCGATAGTGAAATTGATATTGAGACCGAATGTGAGATCGATTGTGTGATCGATTGTGAGATCGATTGTTAGATCAATTGTGAGATCGATCGAATGAGATAGATCGAGTGAGATCGATTGTGAGATCGATCGAGTGAGATCGATCGAGCGAGACCGATAGTGAGATCGATACTGAGATCGATAGTGAGACCGATCGAGTGAGACGTTGGTTCCCCCCCGAACCTCCTTATCACCCGAAGGGTGGTCGTACAGGTATGTATATATGTATGTATGTATGTATGTATGTATGTATGTATGTATGTATGTATGTATGTATGTATGTATGTATGTATGTATGTATGTATGTATGTATGTGTGTATACATACATATATGTATCGAAGACGCCTACAGCGAATCACCGCCGCCCCCTGCCTTTTTGGAAGCGCCTATGTGGCCGAACGTTGAGGCCAGACCTGCCAAGGTATCGGACCTGATGTTCCCCGAATCGGTTTGGAAAGCCTTCGGGGAACACGTGGGCATCTTGAAGGCCATCTTGGCCGCCTGGAGGCCATTTTGACCCTTTCGGGCCTTCTTGGAGGATGTCTTGGAGGGCTCGTCGGCCGTCTTGGAGGCCATCTTGAGCGTCTTGGAGGCCTCTCGGGCCGTCTTGGGGGCCTCTTGGGGCCGTCTTGGGCCTCTTGGGCGATCTTTGGGGGCACTTGGACCGTCTCGGGCCGTCGGAAGGCCGAAAAAAAGCAAATGCCACAATCCTTCACAAACTCATGGGAAATCAATGATGTTGGCTTTTTCGGCTTTCCTGGAGGCCCTCTTGGAGGCCTCTTGGGCCGTCTTGGGCCATCTTAGTGCCATCTTCGGCCGTCTTGGTGGGCCCCCTGGCTCGTCCGACGCCGTCGGAAGCCGTTTGGAGGGACTCTCTGAGCCGACTTGGGGCCCTTTTGGAATGCTCTAGGGCCGTCCTGGAGGCTATCTTGGGCGTCTTGGAGGCCTCCTGGGCCGTCTTGGGGGCCTCTTGGGGCCGTCTTGGGGGCCTCCTGGGCCGTTCTGGGGCCATCTTGGAGGCATCTTGGGCGATCTTTGGGCGATCTTTGGGGGCTCTTGAGCCGTCTTGGTCCGTCGGAAGGCCGAAGGAAGCAAGTGGCAGAATTTGGGGCCCTCTTGGGCCGTTCTGGGGCCATCTTGGAGCACCCATTTCGGCGTGCCGGCCCGTCCGCTATCATGTCCCCCACCTTGCCTACTCATTTCGGCGTGCCAGCCCATCTGCTATCCGAGGCCCAACCTTGCGCGTCAGCTTGGGCGCGCCGGCTTGGGAGCGCCTACATCAGCACCAGCGCCAGCACCGGCGCCAGCTCCAACACCAGCGCCGACGCCAGCTCCGACGCCAGCACAAAGGCCAACGCCTACGACGGCACCGGCGCCAGCGCCTACACCGGCACCGACGCCTAAGTCGCGAGCAGCAGTGTGGGCGCGGTCGTGTCGAGCAGCGCCGCTTCTAGTAGAATAGTTTCGATTGCAACGTGGCGAGCAACACTGCGCAGGTCAGCGGTAGCACGGCGACGTTCACGGCCAGTTTCACGATGAATTTCGTGACAACCGCGAGCAGCAGTGTGACCACGGTCTGGACGAGGAGCGCGATCTCTAGTTGCACGGATGCCACTGCAACGTTGTTGAGCAACACTACGCGTGCCAGCAGAAGCACGGCGACGTCCACGGCCAGTTCCACGGTTAGCTTCACGAAGACTGTGAGCAGCAGTGTGAGCACGGTCTGGTCGAGCAGCGCGACTTCCAGTATTAGCACAACTTCGATTGCAACGTGGTCGAGCCGCACTACGCGGGCCAGCAGTAGCATGGCGAGAGCAGCATTGTGAGCGCGGATTCTGAGTGGGGTCCCGCCTGTGTATAGGTTTTGCGCACGCCTTTCATCCCTCCTCTCTCTCTCTCTCTCCCTCTCACTCTGCCCCCCCATCTCATTCGCATGTGCTTTTTGATCTAACGATGCTCCAATTACCAGGGCGGCGCTGCAGTTTGGCCCAGGCTTGCATGTGGGGGCTTGCATGAGGGGGTCGCCCTCCTTTTTCCTCAAGAGGGTTCCCTCCCCTTGTACAGCCCATCATTTTCAGCTATAGCGCACTTTTCAAACTCCCTGGCTTCAGCTTCTATGCTGGCTTGAACAACTTAGCGCTGCTCTCTGCCATTTTCGTTTCCTCTGCGCTCCTCCCCTCCTCTGCTGGCTTCCTCCCACTGCCACGGTAGGAATGGAAGTCACATTCGCATCATTTGAGAAGTTGCACGGCCCGTGGAACATGAACCTGCGGTGGGTTTTTTTGCCCGCTGGTTGTGTGCGCGTGTGGCTTTGACATTTCGCTGGTCGTGTGGGCCGCTGGGGGTGCCCACGCATCGCCAGCGCCTGTGTTCCTTGAGGGCCTCTTCTCCTCGCTTCTCCTGTTCCTCCTCGTCTCCCCCCTTCCGCCCAAGCCCCGAGTCCAGGGCCACTGCAGGCTTTTGAATTTGTCTTGCAGGGATATTTTAAAGTGTCGAATTCAGCAGGCTCTATCGGAACAGTAGTGTGTGGAGGACTGGAACCATAGTGAACATGCGACGCTCGACTGTGCCCGAAAGTCTGGGGAACTCTTCGCCCACGGGTCGTGTTTAAGAGGCCCACTGCTGCTGTGTCTTCATTAGAAAACCGCCCCCGCAAACATACATACCGCCCCATGTCATATAGACATTCGACTATTCGACCCTCCCCCCTCGTGCCGCTTCCCCTCCTCCCTTTCCCCTGCGCAGTAGAGGCAAACAAATGTCATGGACGCTCTCCCTCATCCAAGTTCTAGGCTGGCACGCGCGGGCAAGATCGCGGTCGAAGTGCAACTCATCAGAGCCACCGCCAGCTCTGATCATTGGGAGAAGGGGGTTGCAGTGACAGATGACTACACCCATCAGACAGCTTGAGACAAAACATCAACTTCCATGGCCTCGAGATCTCGCTTAAGAAGATCAATAATCCCGACTGGACCCTGGGCGTTCTCTTGGAGCCGCCTTTTTACCTAACAGCGGAGACTGATAGGTTTCTAGTGGGCTCAAAAGAGAGCATCTTGACTCCCCAGGGGGGTCTGGGCGGATGCCGGGGAGAATCGGGGACTCCCCGGGACTCCCCAGGTGGGTTTGGGCGGGTGCTGGGGAGGATCCGGGGACTCCCCAGAACACCATTCCCAGGCCACATGTTCAATGCCCGGAGCCAACCGTAGGCCATTTCGTGTTCTTCGTGTTCCCAGAACACCATTCCCAGGCCACATTTTGAATGCCCAGAGCCAACTGTAGGCCATTTCGTGTTCTTCGTGTTCCCAGAACACCATTCCCAGGCCACATTTTCAATGCCCGGAGCCAGCTGTAGGCCATTTCGTGTTCTTCGTGTTCCCAGAACACCATTCCCAGGCCACATTTTGAATGCCCGGAGCCAACTGTAGGCCATTTCGTGTTCTTCGTGTTCCCAGAACACCATTCCCAGGCCACATGTTGATTGCCCGGAGCCAGCTGTAGGCCACTTCGTGATCTTCGTGTTCCCAGAACATTATTCCTGTACTATGTTTTGATTGCCCAGAGCCAACTGTGGGCCTCTTCGTGATCTTCGTGTTCCCAGAACACCAGTCCTGTGCCATATTTTGAATGCCCGAGCTGAGGCAGGCTGAGGCCGAGGCAGGCTGAGGCCGAGGCAGGCTGAGGCTGAGGCTGAGGCACGCCGAGGAGGCTGAGGCTGAGGCTGAGGTTGAGGCAGGCTGAGGCTGAGGCAGGCTGAGGCTGAGGCTGACGCAGGCTGAGGCCGAGGCTGAGGCTGAGGCTGAGGCTGGCTGAGGCTGAGGCAGGCTGAGACTGCTGAGGCTGAGGCTGCGGCTGAGGCTGAGGCTGATGCTGAGGCAGGCTGAGGCTGAGGCAGGCTGAGACTGCTGAGGCTGAGGCTGCGGCTGAGGCTGAGGCTGAGGCGGGCTGAGGCTGAGAGGCTGACGCTGAGGCTGAGGCAGGCTGAGGCTGAGGCTGAGGCCGAGGCAGGCTGAGGCTGCGGCTGAGGCAAGCCTGAGGCAGGCTGAGGCTGAGGCTGAAGCTGAGGCAGGCTGAGGCTGACGCTGAGGCTGTGGCTGAGGCTGAGGCAAGCTGCGGCTGAGGCAGGCTGCGGCTGAGGCTGATGCAGGCTGAGGCTGAGGCAGGCTGACGCTGAGGCTGAGGCCGAGGCTGCTGAGGCTGAGGCTGCAGGCTGAGGCTGAGGCTGAGGCAGGCTGAGGCTGAGGCAGGCTGAGGCTGAGGCTGAGGCAGGCTGAGGCAGGCTGAGGCTGAGGCCGAGGCAGGCTCAGGCCGAGACAGGCTGAGGCTGAGGCTGACTGAGGCTGAGGCTGAGGATGAGGCCGAGGCAGGCCGAAGCTGAGACAAGGTGAGGCTGAATGGGGGGGGGAAGGGGGGGGAGGGGGGAGGGAGGAGGCTGAGGAGGCTGAGGCAGGCTGAGGCGAGGCAGGCTGGCTGAGGCTGAGGCTGAGGCTGAGGCTGAGGCTGAGGCTGAGGCTGAGGCTGAGGCTGAGGCTGAGCTGAGGCAGGCTGAGGCCGAGGCAGGCTGAGGCTGAGGCTGAGGCAGGCTGAGGCTGAGGCCGAGGCAGGCTGAGGCAGAGGCTGAGGCAAGCCGAGGCAGGCTGAGGCTGAGGCTGAAACTGAGGCAGGCTGAGGCATCCTAAGGAATCCATAGGAATCCTTAGGAATCCCTAGGAATCCTTAGGAATCCGCAGGCATCCTTAGGAATCCGTAGCCATAGTTAAGCATCCTCAGGAATCCGTAGGAATCCTTAGGATTCCTTAGGATTCCGTAGGAATCTTTAGGAATCCTTAGGAATCCCTAGGAATCTGGATGCCTAAGGATTCCTAAGGTTTCCTCAGGCTTCCTATGGATTCCTAAGGATGCCTAAGGATGCCTTAGGAATCCCTAGGAATCCTTAGGATTCCATTGGATCCTAAGGCCGTTGCCACTGCGACTGTCATTGCGAATGCGACTGCGACTGCGAGAACAGCAGAATTCTACAACTGGATTCTCACCTGAATCTTAAGGGGAATACTTCCAGATATGCTTATACACATCGCTGTTAGGTTGCTTTGCCGGGATAATTTTCCGTAGAACTTTCGTCTCCCTGGACCTTGGCTGCTGTTTAAGAAAACGCCGGGAGTGAAGTCCACTTTCTTAGCGTGAGTTTCCTTAACTCTCAGCAGGGGTGTACACGTCGGTCATTGACAGTGGGTATTGATGGACTCCCAGATCCCAATGCATGTCAAGCGCCTTCCTACATTGATAATCGATCTGCTCTGGCTGTGCTTGTTTATTCTCTGGGGAGTCCTGGACACAATCCAATCCACTTTGTCCGCCTTCCCACTTCAGGTTTCGGCCCGCTCCTTCCGACCGACGTGTCTGGCACGAGTGTCCGCCGACTTGCTTGTCCGAGGCCTGCGCCTCCCTCTCCGCTGGCCGCCCCGGGAGCCCCCGCCCTCCGCCGCCCCCCTCCGCCGGCCCGCGCGCCCCCGCGCGCCATGGCGCGGAGCGCGGCGCGCAGCGGGGCGCCCGCGGTGCCCAGCGCCCCGCCCGGCCCTCCCCTGCCTGGCCCGCGCGACCGGACCGGCGTCGTCCCCTGCCCTGTCGACGAGGCGCCAGGGGTGGCCCTGCGCCGGAGGGACCTCTGGTGCGGGCCCCAGGGGGTCCCCCGATCACCGAGTGCGACGCGAGAGTTGCGTCTTGCGCGCTTGGGGCTTGGGGCATCTTGCGGGGACCATCGAGGAGCATCTTGGAGCATCTTGCGAGACATGAGCGCACGGGGCCGACAATCGCGCAGGGATTGGACGTCCGAGCGATGGCGAGCTGCCTTGTCAGTGCGACCGGAGTGGCGTCACTACCCGTCGAGAGGGCGGGGGGTGACCTCAGTGAGGGGTGAAGCCGACGGCCCTTTGGGGCTTTGTCTGGAGCCAGCGGGTGCCTAGAAGGGGCCCCGAAGGACCCAACCGAAAGAAGGACGCACACGCGCACGAGTGCAAACCTGGTTTCGAGAGCACGCATGGTGCTAACGCTCGTGTCACGAGGCTGGTCTCGCGGATTGGGAAGCCATATTCATGTAGGTGGTTGGACGCGCATGTCTTTCTTAGGCTCCCTGTACCGGGCCAGCGCCATCGGACTTCCGCCGTCAGTGAGTTCCTGGCCGCCATCCCACTGCGGGGAGGCCGTGTACGTATGCAACGGGGGAGCGAAGCCAGGGTCCCCCAGGCCGCAGTCACGACCACAGTACTCCAGGGGGGGGAAACCGCACACAAACACGAAAAAGTTGCCGACTCCCCAGAAGATCTGCAGCAAACATTCGAAGTGGAGGGGAACGCGAACTTGCAGAACATAGGGAAGAACTCTGAATCCGGGAATCTGTGCCTATCTTGGCGGCGCGCCCGGGTGGGAACTGAGGATGGGCGGGCCTTCCCAGAAGGCTCGGAAGTTCCCAGGCCTTCGGAGACGTTTTCTGAGCCTCCCCCGCAGACGCAGAAAGAGCTCGCCAGAAGGCGCGAGGGCTTCTGAGAAGTCCCGCCGCCTTCTGAGAAGGCCTTCTCCTTCTCGTTTCCCCCCCCCTTGCCGCCGACCATCTACGGCGGGGGCGTTGTATAAGGAATGTCCTCCCAGGGACCAGACCCTGGTGCATTCCTTCCTGCGTCGAGGCGGGGTGGGCGGCCCGCGTCTTGCCTCCCATCGGTCGCGAGACCCTGGGTTCCTTATCCAGGGGTTCCTTTATCCAAGACCTCCGCCGTATTCTCCGTAGCCATTTTGGCTCAAGTCGGGGCCTCGAAGTTTGCGGCGGGTGGTCGCCAGCCTACCAGCAAACACCCTGCCGATGTTGCCCAACCCGCGCGCGAGTCTTCAAGACATGGAGGGGCTTCTCGCCGAACAGGGGAAGGGCAAGGTGGTGAGCCTCGGCCCGCACGTGCCCAGCTCGGCCCCGACGCGCTGCCCCACGGCAAGTTCGCGCACGCTCGACGACGACCAGGACGCCGATGCGCTCCAGGAGGACTGGGGCGTCGCTGCGCTTCCGCGGGACGGCGACGAGCTGGCGTTCCTCAACACGGCGCCCTTCGAGACCGTGCCCGTCAGGGACGAGCGTCCCGGGAGGGGGTCTGCGATGCCAGCGCCCCCGCTGAGGCGCCTCCGGTCCGAGGCGTATTGGGAGCAGAAGGTTGCCGCCGCGTGGCGGCTGGCGTGCTCGCCTTGGGAGGTGGGCGTGCGGCAGCGTTGCCCCCGCGTCGACGGAGGCGGCTGCCTCGGGCCCGCGGCGGCCGCGCCGCCGACAGCGGAAGGCGCCGAAGGCGAGGGCCCAGCGGCGGCCGAGCCGCCAGCAGCAGGAGCTGCCGAGGGCGGAGGCTCCGAGGACGGCCGCAGGAGCTGGGCGGGCGCCGTCTCGAGGGAGTTGCGCCGCGGGGCCCGCGGGGCGCTCGTGCCGGTTGTTGCGCCTCTGGCCCCGCCGCCGGCTGCGCCGCCGCGGTCGCCCTCCGCAGCAGTCGGTGCCGCCCTGAGGTCGCGTGGCCGGTCGTACCATCCGGCTGGGGGATGCTAGGAGCCGCTGGTCAGCGTCAAGGTCACGTAAGACTCGAGCTCGGCGGGACGCGGAGCTCTTCCTGGGCTTGACGGTCGTTCGCGGGAGTTCGCGTCGAATTTCAGATTGGGTCTTATCATGTTCGTGACGGCCCCGTCAGGCCAACCTGGATCCTCCGAACCCGCGTCTTACCCACCAACCGCCAATAGTTGGCCACTTACGTCTCCCCGACGGTTGCAAGCAGTTGGGAGCCAACTCCAGGATTGCCCTGCAACCGCTTGCGGCTCCAAGGCCAAGCCATGCACTTGTGTTTTGCCGCCCTTTGCCGTCTGCAGGCCAAGTGGCGCCCCTCAACGCGCGTGTGTGCAGCGGGAGCTCGCGTCAAATTTCAGACTGGGTCTTGTCTTTTTTCCGACGGCCCCGTCAGGCCAACCCAGGTGCTCCGGACCCGACTCTCAATTACGTCTCCCCGACGGTTGCAAGCAGTTGGGAGCGAACTTCAGGATTGCCCTGCAACCGCTTGCGGCTCCACGGCCAAGCCATGCACTTGTGTTTTTTTGCCGCCCTTTGCCGTCTGCAGGCCAAGTGGCGCCTCTCAACGCGCGTGTTGGGACGTTCTGACAAACATGCCCATTTGAAGTTGCGGTAGGGGCCAATGCCCGCCCTCTTCTTAATACAGTGTACAGGAAGTCCCTGGCAGGATTGGGAGCACGTGCGCGATGATGAGAAAAACAATCTGAGGTTGCCAGTATATCGTCAGCCTCCGCAAAATGGGGAACGGGTTTCCAAACGCCCACCCAGATTCGCAAGGCTGGTCTTGCCACCTGGCCGCTGGTCAGTTGCAAGCAGTTGGGAGCGAACTTCAGGATTGCCCTGCAACCGCTTGCGGCTCCAAGGCCAAGCCATGCACTTGTTTTTTGCCGCCCTTTGCCGTCTGCAGGCCAAGTGGCGCCTTAAATGCACACTTGAGGTTGCCGATATTGCGTCAGCCTCCACACAGCAACATTGGGAATGGGGTCACGCCCACCCAGAGTGCGTGTTTTTTGCTTGGCGCCGCGCGCGCGAGCCACGGGACCTGCGGCGCCCGCGCCGGTGCCTCTCCACCGGAGCCCCTCGCCGCGCGCCCTCCTTGGAGCCCTCCTCCCTCCTCCCTCCTCCCTCCTCCTCCACCGCCTCTCGCCTTCCTCGCAGGGCGGTGCGCTGCGCCCAATGGGGGCAACGGCGCCCGCGCTAGTGCCTCTTCACCGGAGCCCCTTGCCGCGCGTCAGCCTCAGAGCCGTGGACGCCTCCACAAACACGCACGAGGCGTGTTTCGCGCATCAGAGGCGCATTCCCAGGCCGAGGGCGAGCGAGGACGCTGCCCGCTCCGCGCACGAGGCGCGGGGCACGGCGCGTCCCCCCGCGTTGCCTGGCCTCTGCACTTCCTCGGACTGCTTGGCAGCTCCTTGGCCGCTGCAGGTAATTAATGTGCGCGAGGCGGCGGCGGCGCTGCGGTCAGATACTCCCCCCCCGGATGGGATGGGGGGGCTGCAGGTAATGTGGGAAGATGGGACGTGTAACAAAGCGGGTGGATTGCAGTATCGGTGAGGTTGTTGGTTTCGATATGGCCTTTGTTCTCCTCTTGCTCGTCCCCCCACGCTCTTCCGCTCTTCAGCCGCCTGCTTCTGCTCCCTCACTCCTCTGTTGGCGCGAGTTCAGGCGCGAGAGCGTGCCGCCGCGCCTGGTGCTCACCTGGCTGCGTCCGTGCGAGGTTCGAGCTCGATCTTGCAGCTTTAGCCTGCGCCGCAGCGCGGTCGTGCAGCCCTCTCTCAGCAGGAGCAGGAAGAGTCGGTGTTCAGGGCACCTGGCCCTGCACCTGGCTATGTCTGATTTCTCTGCTGTCGTTTCAGAAGCCTGGGGTGAACCTGACATGCAGGTAAACCCACCCCTGCCTTGTGTGCACATGTGTGCCTTTTGCGGCACGTGCTGCACATGTGTCAGGGCCTAACTGTAGCCCCCTCGGTCCTGCCCAGTGGCTCGCCGAGGAAAACAAAAAAAGACCTCCGCCGTATTCGTGTGCCCCTGGGCCCCATCAAGCCCGGGGGAGTGCGGGGGCCTCCGGGCAAAGGGCCCCGAGATCGCAGGGATCGCCCCTCCTCCGGCGGCCGAGCGGGAGCGCGCCCCCCCGACCGCCCAGAGGCTGCCCTGCCCTGGAGCTCGGCCGCGCTCGGACGTGAGCACTTGGTTCTCGGCTCGGTATCGTTGAACCGATCCCCATCCCCACCTTCATCCCCGTCGAGGCAGCCACCAAAGTACCCCCCCAGTTGGGGATACACCCCTCGAAACCCAAGGGGAACGGCCTACATATCCATCTAAGGGGGGTAAATCGACCAGTGGGGCCCGGGCGACGCCGCTGGGGATTGGGGATCGGTTAAACGATATTCATCGGCGAGGACCATCGAGGAGCATCCTGGATCACCCAGCAAATAGGATCACGAACAATGGCATGAACATAAAATCTCGGAGGTCCGCGCGGATCTCTTGGATCCGCGCTGGACCTCCCTGGCGGCGCCTCTGGCGTCGCTTCTGGCGTCGCCCCTGTCGCGCCCCGCGCGCCAGGGAAGGGGGTCCAGCGCCGATCCGAGACATCCGCGCGGACCTGAGAGTTTTTATCTTTATGTCATTCTTCGTTCCCCTGACAAAGCACGCACTGAACCGAATCCATGCCCGGGAATGGGCGCCCGAGCGATGGCAGGTGCAGGCGGCCGTCCTTGCCGTCCTCAAGACTGCAAAGGCGACAGCGTGACGATCTCTGGACCACGTCGAGACCCACGGTTTCCGTCTTTCGGGGGGCCTTGCGGAGGCACCTCCATGGCGTCACGGTGGACACGGAAGGCCTGATTCAGTGTTTCAACTCTGAGGCCGCACTTGCCGCCCTTGCTGAAGGTTCTTCCGAGGTCCCTACGCATGAGGTGCGGCAAGAACCCCAACCGTCGCGTCAACACACCCCTTCTTTCCTGGCGAGACGCCGCCAGGATGAGTCGGATAGTTCTGATTGATTTGCTGTGGCACAGGGCGGCCTATCCTACTTCTTTGCACGGCCCGATGCGACTGACCCTTTTGGCAGGCATCCGTGCGTTACCCCACATCTGGGGCGAGACTGAGGTCGTCCTGGCGCTCTCTGCTCCAGGGGCCTCGGTCCTCGTCGTCCTTGTGTGGGTGGTCGAGTCTTCCCAGTGGCGAGGGTTCGCCGTCTTGTGTTTTCCTGCACGGTCCGATGCGACTGGCCCTTTTGGCAGGCATCCGTGCTTTACCCCACATCTGGGGCGTGACCGCATGTCGTTCTGGCGCTGGCTGCACCAGGGGCTGCGGGCTCGCCGTCCTTGTGTGGGTGGTCGAATCTTCTCCTTTGCATGTTTTTGTGTATTCGTGTGCGTGCGTCCTTCGTGCACGCGTGTCAGGCACCCCAATTTTGGGGGAAGGTGCATGCACACCTAGGGTGCGCTCTGTGTACTCCGAGCACGGGGATTCCCATCCCGACTGTGGCTCGCACGATGTTGCTGCGGCCTGGGACTTTGGTTCCTGGCCCCAACATCCTTTTGTCAGGCGTTGGGCGCGCGTCTTCGTGTGTGCGTTCGTTGCATGCCCCTCCGCCTTGCCCCCCCGCCGCCTCTTGCCTCTGGTGTGTGGGTGGAGCTCTGTCTTGCTCGCTGTCCCTCTTGTTCAGCCGAGGGCAGTTGGCGGGAGGGAGCTTTCCAGCTGCAACTCTCTGCAGCTGGATGTTTTTTGCGCTTCAGCTCTGTGCCCTCTGGCACTGCGCGCCTGCCCCGTCTCGTAGAGATGTTGTGGCGGGTGTGCGAAGAGCTTGGGCACCTGGACGCAGAGGTTCTCGTCCTCTCGTCGTGCCTTTTTCTTTGCGCGGTGACCCTGGTTTTCACCTTGGTCAAGGTGCCAGCATCCCCCTCCGCTGCTGGCTCGTTTCCTTGGTCAGTCCAACGTTTTGGAGGCGAGGCGTTGATGTCAAAAAAAAGGCACCTCCATGGCCTCCAGGGCAGTCTTGGAGCCTTCTTGGGTTGTGTGTCAGTGCGCTCTGTCCGCCTTCAGTGGGCGACGCGCCGAGGGGGAGTGGGAGGGAGGGGCCCAGTCTGGAGATGTAGGGCCCGCGCCTTCTAAGAAGCAGCCTCCTTCTAAGAGGCCTTTCCCTCTCCCCCCACCCCCCTCTGCGCGCCGCCAGCTGAAGACGGCCAGAGTGGATTGCATCGCTCAACAAGGCTCCAAGGCTGCCCTGGAGGCCCTCGAGATGCCTCCGCAAGATTCCCGAGAGACGGAATACATGAGTCTTGATGTTGTTCAAGGATTTTCACATTGTCGCCTTTGGAGTCTTTAGAGCGTCCAAAACGGCCCTCAGAGGCCTCCAAGACAGGACCTATACGGCACCGCATGGCCCCGCGACGGGCGGAGTATCTGGCGCAACACGCGGCACAACATATGGCGCAACCTGAGTCTCCTGGCGGAGTGACATATGATACGCGCAAGCGAGTGGGTTGACCGCCCAGTCTGGGCCTCCTCTGGCCAAGCTCCGCTCAAAACCAGCCCCCGAATCCCTCCCAGGGAGTTCTCCAGAGGTCTCGGGGGCATCCAGAAGGCTCCGGCAGCTCAAACAAGATCAACCTCATTCAATTACTTGGGTCCGCCTCAGGAGGAGGCGGGTCAGGAGCGCATGTGGGTCTAGGAGGAGGGGACCCCGAAGACCAAAACAAAGGGACGAGGAGTGCAAGGATGATGACGATGATGATGCTTATGATGATGCTGATGATGATGCTGATGATTACGATGATGATGATAACGATGACATTGATGATGATGATGATGATGATGATGATGATGATGATGATGATGATGATGATGATGATGATGATGATGATGATGATGATGATGATGATGATGATGATGATGATGATGATGATGATGATGATGATGATGATGATGATGATGATGATGATGATGATGATGATGATGATGATGATGATGATGATGATGATGATGATGATGATGATGATGATGATGATGACGACGACGACGACGACGATGATGATGATGATGATGCTGATTATGAGTATGATGCTGGTAATGATGATGATGATGATGATGATGATGATGATGATGATGATGATGATGATGATGATGATGATGATGATGATGATCATGATGCTGTTGCTGCTGATGATTATGAGGATTATGATGCTGATGCTGATGCTGATGCTGATGATGCCCATGATGCAGATGATGCCTATGATTATGCTGATGATGATGATGCTGATGATGATGATGATGATGCTGCTGCTGCTGATGATGATGATGATGATGATGATGATGATGATGATGATGATGATGATGATGATGCGGCGGAGGAGGCGGAGGAGGAGGAGGAGGAGGAGATCACGTGGTCGGGAACTGCGGTCGGCCTTGTGATCGGCCTGGCACTGGAAGCCAAGACTGAGCGGCGTGGCGCGCTGCGCAGCACCGCTCTCGCAGCCGCGGCCGCGTGCAGAGCAAGGACCCCGGACATCTTGCGACCCGAGCACATCGCGCCCGAGGTGTGCCGCCGCCTTCGGCGCGCGGGGCACGCTCCTGGAGAACGAAAGAGTCACCAGGGAGGTTTCGAGAGCCTTCAGGGACCACAATCTTCAAATCTCACAACGTCGGGCGTCACCACTCCGTCTTGTTCTTCATTCTGCCTGGGCTGCCTCGCTCGTCGCCCACGAGCACAGGGGACTGTAGCGTGGCGTTGATGCACCTACGGGTGGGCATGTCGCTGTATCTTCGGGTAGGGTTTTATCGAAGACGCCTACGGCGAATCACCGCCGCCCCCTGCCTTTTTGGAAGCGCCTATGTGGCCGAACGTTGAGTCCAGACCTGCCAAGCTTTCGGACCATGTGTTCCCCGAATCGGTCTGGAAAGCCTTCGGGGAACACGAGGGCATCTTGAAGGTCATCTTGGCCGCCTGGAGGCCATTTTGACCCTTTCGGGCCTTCTTGGAGGGCGTCTTGGAGGGCTCTTGGGCCGTCTTGGAGGCC